GCTCCAACTCAGTTGGGCATCCAACTCTTGACTTCACCTCAGGTCATAATCTCAGTTTGTGAGTTTGAGCCCCACACCGTGCTCTGCGCTGACAATGCAGAGCCTGCTTGGGATTCTCTCCCTCTCTCTCTCTCTCTCTCTCTCTGCCCCTCCCCCACTTATGTGTGTGCACTCTCTCTCTCAAAAGAAAGAAAGAAAGAAAGAAAGAAAGAAAGAAAGAAAGAAAGAAAGAAAGAGAGAGTGTTAGACTTTCACCCAGTAAGTCTGGCTCCTGAGTTAATACTCTTAATCATTAATTAGGCTACTGCCTCTTGTGCCTATATGTGATCAAAACATGGACAGGAAGGACACACACCAATTTCAATTCCTCTGAGAAAAGACAAGGCAATGAGCTATTATTGATGCTGGGGATAGAGATGGGGCTCATTCACGCTTTCTTTCCTAAAAAAGATTTTTTTAAATTAAATAAAACTTTAAAACAAGCCAATATAAGGAGACTAATGTTAACATTTGTTTAATCTGGGAGGTGGGTACATGAATATTTGTACTTTGAACTTTTGAGTTTAAAATATTTTCCCGTAAGGCTGGGGGAGAAGGAAAGAAGAAATTGAGGGTCACCACCATCAGCTAGAAATGCACAGTGGAGGACAGAGACAGCCAGGTTGGGAGGAGAGGGCAGGTGCTGGCCCAGCCCTTCCAGACTAAGTACATAACTCTCCACGTGGCCCAGACTTCCCCCAGCACTAACACGCCTGACCCCACTGCTTGTCATTCTGAGCATGTGGTGCAGCCCTGAGCCTCCCTGCCTCCCGTTACCCAATCTCTTCCACCAGGAATGCCCTCCACCCTATTCTACAGGCAAGGACCTTGCCCTACAGGCAAGGACCTTGCCCTACAGGCAAGGACCAGCTAGAGGGCTTCCTCTTTCTTGAAGCCTAGGGACTCGAGAGCTCCTCTGGGCTCCAAAGGACAGAGGATTCCCCAGCCAGTTTATACCAACAGGTAGGGGAGATCCCTGACTCACGCAGTAAGGCATGGAAGGGGCAGAGGACAGCTTGATCCGGGCACCGAGCATCTTCAAGCTCTTTCGGTGTCTTCTCACTTTCTCAGACAGGCTCCTGCCTTTGCAGTTTTGACCCAGCCCCAGGGAAGCTCAAGCTGGGTATTACGATCACCAGGCTGGCATTCCACGGCCACCCCTGAAGTCTGAGCTGTGACGTCTGCTGCAGACGAGCGGTGAAGCAGGTAAACCCAGGGCCGCCACACCATCTATGTAACTTTCCCAAGAAGCTTGCACCCCTGTCGCCTTGAGTCCCCAGAAAAAATGGTCTGTCCTACTGTTCATTCAACAACATCCAATCAAAAGGATTTGCTGAATACCCGCCATGTGGCTGGAGGGACAAAGATGACTTAGATCCTGCCCTTGAGGAGTAGGGAGAGGAGGGATGTCAGGGGATTGCTGACATCCATGTGGGAAGCGCAGTGGTAGAGACACGAAATCGAGCGTGTGGGAACACGGAGCATGATTCGGACAGGCGGCATTCAAGCTAGTCTTGTAGAACAAATAGTTTTCTGGGTACGGAGCCGGCAAAAGTGGTCGAGCGGTGGTGGCACAGAGGGAGCACACCGCAGACAAGGAAATGTGTGCACAATGGCGTGGATGCATGGTGGGGCACTCCGCGCTTAGGGAACCGGAAGTCGGTCGGTGTGGCTGGGGCAGGGTCAAGGGATGTGAAGAATCAAGACTGCACACGAGGCAGGAGCCCCTCAAAAGCAAGGACAGGGCATCACAGCCTCATTACAGAAGATTTACTATTTGTCATCCCAGAATAGATTCCCCTGTTCTTTTGGGAAATGACTCCAACTTCATGGTTCTGCCAGAAATGATCCATCACAGCACGGAACGACCACCTGACCCCAAGCCAACTAATCATTCTTGCCTGGGATTCCTTCCCATGGAGCTGGCGTGGGGAAGCTCTCTTCTCTCACGACCGTAAGCCTAGAAGCCTGGGCTACATGTGGCCGTGACTCCAGGCCCGCGAGGACGGCCCACCTGAGAGAACAGAGGTAAGAGGGAGGGATCTGAATCCCTGGACCCGGAGGCCTAGACGGCTAGCTTTTCTCTGGCTCCTAGCATTTCTTCACCTCGAGCCATAAACTTCTTCTTGCCACTTACGGTAGTTTTAATTAGGTCTGTGCACTCCCAGCCCAAAGGGCCCTGTTCTCAGCATATCTATCCGGACTGATGCAACGAAGCTGCTCACAACACAGCTGATGAGGCCAAAGCACGGAAAAACAGTGCAGGGAAGAACACATCCAAATCAAGTAGGACTTGATGGGCCACCTGCTACTACCATGCACGGGGCAGTTTCCTCGGGTCACATGAGTCAGAGGCCAGCCCCAGGCCCAGAGAGCACCCACCCTTCACACATCCCAGATGCCATCCTCCTTATTTTCACAGGACGGCGTTCTCACTCACAAAGTCTGCGTGACCAGGCCCTTCTCCACTTCGGGCTACCAAGTGGTCCACCTTTCTCTCCTTCCAAGTTGCAAAAACAAAAGAACCATGGCAGGATACTAGGTGGAGAATATTTTTCCATCGAGGCTCAGAGGAAGGCCTAGCATCCATTCCCGGAGCTATGGCCTCTGAGCCTCCGCCACCAGCCCACTTCTGGCTGGGCCGGCCTCTGCTTCCGCCTCCAGTGCACATGTCAGTCAGAGGAGCCTCTCTGATCGCTACTTTAAATAACAATCCCTACTTCCACTCCCTCCTGGTATCTTACCCTACTGGGCATTTTTTTCTCCACCTTTGATCACCACCTAACACGGTATCTATTTTCTGTTCCCAACCCAATTAGAACGTAAACTCCGGGGGGGGGGGGGGGGGGGTCCAGACACTCCCAGTTTTGTTCATTGTTCTATTCTGAACACCCAGGACAGTGCCTCACACAGGCCGTGTTTCCAATAAATATCTGTTGAATGAATGAATGAATGAACAGGCAGTGATACCAGACTGGGATCAGCGAACAGAGAGGGCAGACCGAGGGGTGATAGACTTCCGGTCTGCAGAAGGTTAACACGGGCAATTATTTGATATGCCCAATCTCATGAGGGATGAAAGAAGACACAGGACAAACGGGACCCATGAAGCAGGCGGGTCCAAGCGAGTGGTACAGCTGGGTGGACAGCTATCGGCTTTGCCTAGCGCTCCTTTACCCTTCTGACAAGAATCCCTGATTCTCCTCGAGTTTATGCTGCTTTAAAGCGTGAGCATGTGACCTGATTTAGCCAATCAGCATACCCCACGCCTTTGCCCATAGTGATTGCTTTCTGTTTTGGATACATGATCTAATTCAGGCAATGAGAGTCTCCCAAAACAAATGGGTAAAAGAAAGTCCCCACCCAGGGACACTGCCCGTAGCAAGGATGATACAACCACCTGCAGGTGGACTCATCACCTGCAGCCTGAGAATAAAGCCAACCCAGAGGAAAGAACCCCTCTCCAGAAACTTGAGTTCCTCCCTGGATCCAGCCATGCCCAAAGGTACCATACCTTTCAGTGCTGTCAGCCAATAAAGTCTCCTTTTCTGGTGAACTGTTTTGAATTGGGATTACGTCCCTTCCAGCCGAAAACATCCTGAGCAACCCTGAAGAACAGGAGTGAAAGTACATTCTCATGGCGCTTAAATACCTCACAGGGAGGCCTAATGTCAGGCCAGGTGTCCCAGAAGAGCAATCCCATAACTCTTGGTGAAACTCACTGACTATCTTTTTGATGGGCAGGATGGGGCCATGATGGCAGTTTTATTAACTATTCGCAGTTACGTTTGGGGAATAAATTCAACCGCTTTGTCTCAGGTGTTTGAACATCTCGCATCTCACGACTGTGAAGGGCCATGATTAAACGGAATCCGACATTCAACTCAGTGCAGAGGGAGAGAGAGCATCATACGGTGAAAAGAGCACCGAACCAAGAGCCGAATCATCTGGCTTCTCATCCTTCTCTGATCACTAACTGGCGGTGCGTTGTGAGCCAACTCATCTGCTTCTCTTCATCTCAACGTCTAAGTCCGCAAAGCGAGCAGCATGATTAAAACCCCTGCGAGCAGCCCTTCTAATTCTGGACTCAAAAGCCCAGGAAGACAAGGGTTCCTAATCTTTGATAGGATCTAAACCCAGAAAAACACGCATGTGCACAAACACGTAATTCTGCAGAGTGTCATGGGGTTCACGACTCTACGACCCAAACTAGATCGCTAACCTCTCTCCATTCTACAATAACTAGGACACTAGCTCTTCTTGCATTCCTCTGGTAATGGGGAACTCACTATCTGACAAGGTAGCCAAACGCGACTGAACTGCTCTAGAAACATTAGTTTGTCTTCATATTGAACCAAGATCTTCACACAGCAGTTTCTACCTATTGGTCCAAATTCTCCAGAGCAAATCAGAAAAACCCTCTCTCCCTGTCTCTCTCCCTGTGTGCGGCATCTCTTCATTTGTTTGAAGACTGTTTCCAACTTTTAAATGCAAATAATATGTGAGAAGAAATGCAGATGACGGCTCACCATGTAAATTATTTTACAGTTCATTGTTAGAAAAATACATTCTTCCAAAATATGCCAAGCACCCAAACGTAAGTGCCAAATTCCCAATAAGCACTATTAATCTGCACGGTCAAGGATTTGCAGAGACAGCACTGATGCACAAAAATATCTCGAAGGAAATGGCATAGTCTTGCAGAAAGTTCACCTCATTCCGATTCACAAGAGTTGCAGTAGTACCTGCCTCCTCCCCCAACTACCTGTGCACGGTTGGGCAAGCCACTTAACCTCTCTGAGCCTGTTTCTCATCCGCAAAATGTGAGCAAACCTACCTCACAGGGATGCAGCGAGGATTAAGTGACATAACGTTCGTAAAGCTCCGAGCCCACGCCTGGCTCACGGCAACTTCTCAATCAATCCCAGCTCCCGGGCTCAGCCAGTGGCGCGTTTCTTTCGATGCGCTCGGCGCTCCGTCAGGAGCGTGAGTCCCCTTCCCGAGCCGGAGCCTGCGCTCTGGGCTCGACTGAGGCTCCCTGGCCGCTCGCGCTTTTCTCTCCTTCTCCAAGATGGCGGCGGTCGGCGGCGCTGAGGCGGGATCCGGGCGAGCCGAGTGAAGGTAGCGGCGAGCGGAGCCCCCACGAGGCCGGGCTGGGCCCCCTCCCCGAGGCGGCGGCGGCCCCGCCCCGCCGCCACCACCACGCCCAGGCCCCGCGACACCGCCATGAGCGGGGCGCCACTGAGCCCGGCGCGGCCTAGCCCAGGGGCCGAGCCGGGGACTGGAGTAGCTTGGCCTGGTCACTTGGGAAGAAGGGGCTGGAGCAGGCCATGGGCGGGCCGGGCAGGGCTGTCCCAAATGGGAAGGCAGGGCTTCTGGGGCCGGGAGGGGGCGTGCAGCCGCCCAGGGGCCTGCCAGGCCAGAGACCGCCCTCCCCCTGCCGGGCCGTCTCCGCCCTCAGGGGCGCCCGGAGGCCGCCGGGACCGCGGGGGGGGCAGGTCAGCCGCAACGCGGCGTGGCTCGAGACCCGGGGTCCCCACGCGGGGGGCCCCAGGCTGTCAAGGCAGAGCCCCCGGGGCCGGGGCGGCGGAGAAGGGCTGGGCCCTCAGCCGGCAGCGGGAGAGGATGAGGAGCTTTCTTCTTTTCTCTTCACAGAGCTTTGTTGAACTAGCTGTTGCTTTTAAAACTGCCAGAATCCCATTGGTTTTGCGTGGGGACCACCAAAAAAGAGGTGGTCCTGGGGGGCTCTGTATAAATAACTTGATTTGAGTGTTATGGGTCCTCTTTGCGGGCGACCCAGTTGGAACGTGCCTTCGGGGACGATCTTCTCAATACAAGGCCCATCCCCACAGCTGTTACTTGTATATGTTCACTTTATCATGCCATTGGAGGAGCGACCTCTCCCCCCTCCCTCTGCCGGTTAAGCTGGTGGCCGGTTATGTCCCCTTATAGCAGAACCAAAAAAAAAAAAAAAAAAAAACCCTCAGTCAAAAGGAAAGCCTGTTGATTGGACAAGCTTGTCAAAATTCGTCCTGGTGGTTTTTTGGGAATGTGTGTTGTCAGCCGATCTGTGCGGTGGTCGTGGTTCCGCTCAGCTCCCTTGCAATGAGAGGATTCAATCCCCATCCCAGGCTGTCGGGATCTCTGCAGTTTCCAGAGCTGGCAGGGGCTGTGAGTGCTGCATAGGTAGGTTCCTGGAGAAGGGAGTGGCAGGAGTGGGGTCTCTGGATTTCGAGTTTGAATCTCCACAAAGCCGACACAGCACTTCTCTATCCTAGAAGTAAACAACTGTAGCAATTCAGCAACTGGCAACAGCTGGCAAAGCACCTTCCTTTTCCTGCACTGACCGGCCACTTGGGTTCCTGGAGGAAGGCTGGAAGAAAACAGGGACCCTTGAACATGGCTGTCGTCGCGGACTAGACCCGGATTTCAGCGTTTCGCTCACTGCTCGGATCGAGGGCCTTACTCTGTTCCCTCTTTTTCAGTACTCACGTTCTGGGATGAAGAAATTTGTTCACAACGATCGCTGGGGCTCAGATTACCGCAAAAAAAAAAAAAAAAAAAAAAAAAATCACCTTCTGAAACTTTTTGTTTCAATACTTCTCATTTGGACCTGCAAAATAAGAATAAGCAACATTAAGTAACGAACTTTCACTTACGGTATCATTTCTTAGCACACTGAGAAGAACATAATTATAAAACTACCCCTGCCTCTTGAACTTGACAACACTGAATTCCGTAAACTCCAAATTGATGGGATTCAGGAGAATGGGTTTTAACACCTGTTTTCGTTGTGCCAACATTTCATGTTAATTATGGCCTCTGTCTTCTAACGTGGAAATCAAGGCTAATAATATTTTTCACTTCCGTTAGTCCCACAATCTTCTGCTTAACCCTGAACTCTGAATTTATCGTGGATAATGATTACCTGGAAGGAATATCGAGGGGTCATCTGATCCTATATAAATGTTGTCCTAACTCTGCCTTTCTTCCACACTATTGCCTGAGACTTCTTTATCTGGTTTCATCTTTCCTTTGTGAGTCAGCAACCCAAACTAACCCCTGAGCTGCAATAATACCTTGATTTTAAAGAATCTCGAAACGCAAGGTCCATCAATCTGCCCAAGCTGTGAGCAACAGAGTTCACTGTGTTTTAAGTTTTTTAAGCTCTTGGCTATTCCAGTTCTTTAGTGAATCAGCCTTGCCTTCAGGTCCCATTCATTTTTTTTTCTCTCTCTCTACGGGTTATTTAATTCTGTAATGTATAAAATGCTCTTCAGCGTTTCTCTGAAAGTTTAAACAGGAGCAGGCCTAATTGCAGTACGTCATGCCAATACCAGCATGGGTTTTCTGTATTTGCCCGTGCCTCTGAGGATCAGCTCCTAATTTTCTGTTCCCTTTCACAACTTTTTAAATCCACTGGTTGTTTTCCAAAGCAGTCAGTTAAGAGACCACGAACACTTTTTTCACAGCTCTGAAGTCACATCGTGGTGTTCTCTCTCATACTGTCTTCAGAGGTACTTACTCCCATTTTGACTGTTAGACCGTTCCACTCTGGTTTATGTTAGTTTTGATGTTACTAAAAAGAAGGCCTGCCCGTACGTCTCAGGGCCTGCAGAAGTGCCTTGACAACAAATTGATGGCCATATTTATGATCCCGAATGTTTAAGATTTTTTTCCTTATTATTTCTCAAACATTCTTAGCCAAAATTCATTTGGCATGAAAAACATTTAAAACTCCAGGTCTCAAGTTGCTGTATTTCTTGGCATTACCAGCCTGTGGAAACTAACGGGACCTTTATCTTTTTTTCTGATAAATTCAGTATATTTTAGTGCCAGTGAGAGGGTATACTGTTTTCAAATGAATGGACGTAATTCCCTCGGACGTTCCCCCTTGCCTTACCGCTTGCAGTCTGCACCACTTGTGTGGAGAGGGGAGGGCAGTAATTTCTTTTTTTCTTTTTTTTTTTTTTTTAATGAAATCTATTGTCGAATTGGTTTCCGTACAACACCCAGTGCTCATCCCAACAGGTGGGAGGGCGGTAATTTCTACCTGAGAAAGTTGAATACTGGAACATGGAAATCTAGCTACAGTGGTGCAAGTTGCCTCATATTTCTACATGAGATCTGACCTTATAGCCCCTTCATTTCCTATGACAAGCCCTCAGAGCAAGCAGTTCTCCAGTTTATCACTCAAATAATCCAGCTGATTTGGTTTCTTTACTTCACTCTAGATTCTCTTGACCTTGACCAACTCCATTCTTCATTCTCCTCAGGGAAGTGGAGAAGTACTTTTTTGTGTTACTTTTCTGAATGTTCCTTGTAAATCATTCTTGGTAATGCTTTTTCTCTTTGTACGCTCAACTTAGGCTTGTCTATGCACTGTATTTTATCTGACTTGTGCAATTAAGTCTTCTCGTTTATCTTCGATGTAACTTAGGAAAGTTCCCCTTGTTAATCAGATTCTCTGTCACGAAAGTTACACACTTCAGCATTGCCCATGCCCGCCTAAGGGATTGGCAGTGTCTCACCAGAGAGCCCGTCAGCATTTCTCAATCCCCTTATAGTAATGAAAATAAAATGAAATTTAAGTAAACAGCCAATCCAATCACCTTGTAAGCATTTCACTAACTGGATGAGAACACTTTTTGATATACTTAGTCTGTCATTTTTAAGTTTCCTGCAAAGACTTCCTGCAGGACTTGCGACATTACCTGTCCTTAAAGTATTTGAAGAACTTTATCCTAGAGTGCAGTCTACAGCTTGTCATTGTCAAAGTCATAGTAGACGTATAAACGTGAATGCCAGAAAAAGTTTAACGTCTTCAGGATAATACTTAGAACATTTACGTTACAGTAACTTTCAAATCAGTAAAAATCTTAATCACAAAACCTTCACCGCCAGTGGACAAATGAATTCTTCCTTATTTCCACCTAGCCTTTAACAGAGGCTTGATAGCCTTGAAAGCTGTCATGTGGCCAACCAGTATAAGAAGTATACTTATTTTTATACCTCTGCAGTTTTGAGCAAATTCATATAGCCCAACAAAATGCAGACCAAAAAATTACACTGTAAAGTTATGATTTCTGTTTAAACTGCAACACGATAGATTTTAGCCTGTTGCTAATCCGCATGGTAGGACTTTATGGTCTGGAATGTTTGCTGTAATCTGTCTTCCTCTGCATCCTGCTTTATCTGTGCATTTCATAACTGTGACTGAACCTATCCCTCTGACTTAATGTCAGTATTTACCATCTCGGTGTTGTCAGTCCTGTTGGCATTTCAGAAATTCTCATTAATTTTGAGGTATTTTTTATTCTGTGGGAGGTATTTTATATACTTCACCAAACCACAACTCTAACTCATAAGTCAAATCAAATTAAGCCCAGTACACTTCCTGCAGTCTCAACCCCGATACATTTACAAGCAGAATGAGGAGGTGACGAGACACTCCTTTATTTCTTGCTGCCCTTCCAGTCTGCCCTTGGATCACTACGCATTTCCATCTGGAAGGTTGCTTCTCCACAGTGATTTCGCATTACAGGAGGGTTTTCCTTCTTTGTTTCTCAGACCTGGTCCTGTAGACGGGAAGGAGCCTGGACACAGTGACACATTCACAAAGGCCCTGCAGGACCACCATGGCTTATGATGACTCCGTGAAGAAAGAAGGTATGACCCCTTAATCTGAGAAGCATTCCAAAGGGGGTTTCCTCTTCAATCCTTGCAGCCTGTGGACATAGAGACCAGGACTGGCCATCACAGCCTGGACTCCCAAGTGCTGGCCCAGAGCAGTATTAATGACACTCAGCCTCCACAACATCCCCCAACTGGGCCCATGGATGCGAAAACCAGGACAGGGTTCCAACATGAGAGTCTGAGATAGAAGTCTCTAGTCTATTGGGGTGATCCCCTGCAGCACTCGTGGTCCTTGCCAGCTCCATGTGCAGGAGTCTGGGGATAGGAGTCACGTTTTGGACTCCCACAGAGCAGCACAGCGCATGAATCCTTATTCTTTTCAGCCTTACCTCTGCAAGTCTGTGTCCACCTGCCAAATCACCACTAAGAAACCATGTCTGAGGATGCACATTGGGCTTTGCATAGCGTGGAAGCATTGTTTCTTCAGGTTTCGTTCTTGTATTTGCAGCCAGGTCATCAAGAAATACACTTGTCCCCTTGGATCCTAGCCCCGTATTCCAGTGGGCTTCTTGAAACATTTTAACTTGGAAATGGAGGGCCTGTTGCCTTACATATGTGGTGACTTGGTTGCCACTTACTTAATCTTTCTCATTTCCTTTCCCAAATGAACCCGGCTCTTAGATTGCTTTGATGGTGATCACAGCTCTGAGGACACAGGACTAGCTGCTGGCCGAAGCCAACGAGAAAAGAAACGTTCTTACAAAGACTTCTTGAGGGAAGAGGAAGAAATCGCTGCTCAGGTCAGAAATTCTTCCAAGAAGAAGTTAAAGGTAAATTCTACACATTTGAATTAGGAAAGCTTTTAACTGTCTCACATCCTATTTCCTCATACTTGAAGAAAGAAGTTTATCTTAAAATAAACATTGTTGGCACCCATTCGTAGTACTTCCCGTATTTTACTTTGTTTTCCAAAGTCAGAAATCAAAGAACAAAATCGGGCCCCATCTTACTCGTTGGTCAATTCTTCTTCCTCTTCAATTCCAGGATAGCGAACTTTATTTCTTGGGGACGGACACGCACAAGAAGAAGAGGAAGCACTCCTCCGATGATTACTACCATGGAGGTGAGGAGGGAAGGGGCAGCAGGTGGGATGAACACATCACTGGTTCTTGGAGTCGGGGTAGGGGAGAGGGATCCAGATGTTGCTGACTCAGTGGCCTATTTAACAGGACAGTGGTTCTTGTTCTGAGTGCCGATAAACCAGTGTGAAGGAGGAGAGAGGTGGAGGGCTGGTATTTTGGAGGATTCAGCATAGAAGAACAGTCTTCATTTGTGATACACCAGGTACCAGGTTCCTTCTCCCCCCAATCATCCACTTCTCTTCTGCCCATTGTTACCTAGCATCCCTTTTGCCGTATGTAGTCCCAGGCCCTCGGGCCTGCACCTGTGGGTTACTTCTCAGTGCAGTGCATATCCACTCACAAGACCAGCCTCTCTTAGCTCTCTTACGCGCATAGCTGATGAGACTAACCCTTTACTAGAACGGGCTTGTCCTGAACACAGAAACAGATGACACTCTGTCTGCAGTGCAACCCAAATTGTGACTACTCATAATCCCACAGCTTAGTCCATTCTTCTGGGTCCGCTCTCTCTGGTTGCTCGTGAAGTCTCAGTGAAGAGAAACGACTTTAGTGGCGAGAACTGTGTCCGGGGTCAGGCAGAATCTACCAAGCCAAGAAGCACACGGGCGTCATCAGGAATCAGTTGAAGGGTCCCCCCTCAAATCATTTCTCTTAGCCTCTTGCTCGTGTTAGTTGAGTGTTTTGGGTGAGAGAGGAAACTTGTTGGAAGTTGGTTTGTCGTGTGGACATGACTTCTCTTGATTATTTCTAGATATTTCGTCTTTGGAATCGTCACAGAAGAAAAAGAAGAAGTCCAGCCCGCAGTCTGCCGATACAGCCATGGATCTGTTGAAAGCTATCACTTCCCCGCTGGCAACAGGCTCCAAGCCCTCCAAAAAGACAGGGGAGAAATCCTCCAGTTCTTCAAGTCATTCAGAGAGTAAAAAGGAACACCACAGGAAGAAAGTAAGTGGAAGCGGTGGGGAGCTGTCCCTGGAGGATGGCGGTTCCCACAAATCAAAAAAAATGAAACCGCTCTATGTGAACACAGAGACACTGACTCTTCGGGAGCCCGATGGCTTAAAGATGAAGCTCATTCTCTCGCCAAAGGAGAAGGGAAGCAGCTCGGTTGATGAGGAGTCTTTTCAGTACCCCTCTCAACAGGCGACGGTGAAAAAATCCTCTAAGAAATCAGCTCGGGATGAGCAAGGTGCTTTACTCCTAGGACACGAGTTACAGAGCTTTCTGAGAACAGCCCGGAAGAAGCACAAGTCTGCCTCGGACCCACATTCCTCTCCTGGCCCCGAAGGCGGTGGGTCGGATGCCTCCCAATTCCCAGACTCCCACAGCGCTAACCTTGATCTTTCAGGACTTGAACCTATTCTGGTAGAATCAGACTCGTCCTCTGGTGGGGAGCTAGAGGCTGGGGAGCTAGTGATAGATGATTCCTACCGGGAAGTCAAGAAGAAGAAGAAGTCAAAGAAGAGCAAAAAGAAGAAGGACAAGGAGAAGCATAAAGAGAAGCGACACTCCAAGTCCAAGAGAAGTTCAGGACTTTCGGCCACAGCAGCGGGAGAGGCCCCAGTGGCTCCCGGCCCTCCTCCCAGCGCCCCGCACGCTGGGGCGGCTGCCCCTCCCCCCCCACTGCCCAGCCTCCACACAGACGGGCATGGTGAGAAAAAGAAGAAAAAAGAGGAGAAAGACAGAGAGAGAGAGAGAGGAGAAAAGGTAAACCATTCTTTAAAGTGCGGTGGGTAAGTGACAATGGTAGTAAGTGGACTTGGAATTCGGCAGCTGAGGTGAGCCGTGGGGAGTGTGGCCCCGTCCGGTGGGATGGCATGAAATGTAAAATATTACCAGTGGCCAAGTGTGGCTGATGCGAAAATAAGAGCAGTCTTGATTATTCATGGGTTTTGTTTCTTTAATTTTTTTTAATGTTCATTTATTTTTGAGAGACAGAGACAGAGCACTAGTTGGGCAGAGAGAGAGAGAGGGATGCACAGAATCTGAAGCAGGCTTCAGGCTCTGAGCTGTCATCACAGAGCCTGATGTGGGGCTTGAACTCACAAACGGTGAGATCGTGACCTGAGCGGAAGTCAGATGCTTAACCAACTGAGCCATCCAGGCGCCCCAGATTCATGGGTTTTCTTAACGGAGCTGTTCTCCCATTGTGCCAGGCATAGGGTTAGGGACACCCTTGAAATTGGAATTCACGGAAGGAGCCAAACCCACTTTCTTTCACTCAGCAGCACTGGCTGCCTGGGGCAGTTGAGAGAGACTCAAGGTACCAGAGGTATTCTGTGAGCTTACTTTGAGAAACATTTTCAAAATGAGAAGAATAATGACCAGGTTAACAGAATAAGGGAATGGCTTTCCACTAACTGTGCTTTCCACTTTCTGGTGTCAAATGTGTGTTCTTTCACCATGTGAGCGCCTGCTGTCTACCAGGCCCAGTGCTGTGGTTCATGTTAAGAGGAGCAGAGCTGAGCGGGACCTAGCTCCCGACCTCAGGGAGCCCACAGATTGCTGAGGAGATAGGAATGAGAAATCAGCCAGCTTGGTTTAACTTCTTTCCCGCAACTTGAAAAACTTCCTAGCAGTTGTACAGTAGGGGCTGGTGACTATGTCATTACAGGTTTTCTTTGAAAAATAAACCTTTCCCCCCTGTTATCAAAGTAATTGCTATTGCAGAAATTTAGAAATCAAGAATCGTAGAAAGAAGAAGCTCAGAAAGGTTAGTTTCGCCACCCGAGGACAACCATTGGCTTCCTTTGTTTAGAGTTCTGCAAGATGAAATGTCAGATAAAGTCTGAAAGAGAAGCTGCTAAGAAGGAGAAAGTCAAGTATTTAAGAATTTGTTAATGGGAGCTTCGGTTCAGCCTGTGACGGGTACGGGTCATGTTTCCCACTGCAAAGAGTGGCTTTGAAGCGTGTATATCTCAGAAGTGAAAACCAAAAGTGTACCTTCCGAGCCACGAATCAGTGTGCGCATCAAGAGCTGCATAGTCAGCCACTGGGTCAGGTTTTATTCATTTATTTGCAAATTGCTTCGTGAAATCGTATGTATTCTGTGTAAGATGCCCTTTATCCTGAGAATTTCCATCCGCTAGTGATGTATGACAGTGCCATAAACTAATCGTACAGTGCTGAACGTAGGAGGTCAGGGTGGTCAGAGCTTACGGAAGAAAAAGGATTTCAGTACAAAGGCATCCAAGGTGGCAGAAAGACGTTTAGGAAGTAGCACAGCAAAACCACCGAACTCTAGTCCTGTGTTTCTAACTGCCTGATAAATATTGCCACCTGGATGCCTTGGGTCCCTCAGACCCACGTGTCACTGACTAAGCTCATCATCCTGTCGCCCAGACCTGCATCTCCTCCTCCATCTGCTTCTGTGTTCTGGGCCCTTCCAGTCAGCCCAGACTCAAAACTATATGCTGCGTCATTTCTCTTGACTCTTTATTACGAAATTTTCCAAACCAAAAGCTTTGAAATGGTACAGTGAGCACAATATGCCACCCAGTGAGATTCTGTAGTTATTATCTTGCTGTCTCCCTCATGAGACATCTGTCCATCCATCTTTTACAAAGTATTTTGAAGTAAATTATAGATCTCTCACATCGCGTCGCTGAACGCTTCAGCCTGCGTGTCATTAACTTAAGTTCAATATTTGTTTTCAGGACTTTTTTTTTTCATGGTAGACTTACGTGCAGATGTGCATGGGGTCAGTCTACCACTGGGTGAGTTTTGACAAATGCGTACGCCTGTGTGACCACACCTGTCAAGACAGACATTCCCATCGTCCCAAACAGCTTTCGCGTACCCCTTGCCTGTCGGTCCCCGCCCCAGAGCCACCCACTGTTCTGGTTGCTTCCCAGTCTTAGGGTGATTTTTGCATCTCTGCCTCCCTGCTTCCCCTCTCCTGTAGCTCCACTCAAGGACTGTGCCCGATATCCTTCCTCCTTAATCATCCCCGTGCCTTTCTGTCCTCCGTTACCACTGTTCCATCCTGGACCTCATCCCTCCCTGTACGTAATGCAGTAAATGGCCTCCTTTCTGTTTCTTCTCCCATGCAATTACTACACCCTGATGCCAGAATGTTCTTAAGTACCACTTTGATGCCAACAGTCCTCTGGTTCAGCATCTTCAGTGGATCCTTCCCGCCTTCACGTTCGACCCTAAGCTCCGAGAGGACCAGGGTCCTGTCTGTCACGCTCTCCACTTCATCCCTAGCACTGAACCCGCAGTCTGGCCCGCTGTATTTAGTCCATAGATGCTTGTCGAATGAGTAGATAATCAAGGTCCAGACCCGAGGCCAAGCATCATAATTGTCTGTGATTTAGCCTTCAGCCTTCCTTCTCAGCTGTCCCCCTTAGTCGGCTTTACATGCACTGTGGGGAAACCATTCTTGGCCCCTACATTCTTCCCTCTACTCCTCTGCTCATTTTTTGTAGTGATCTTCTTCCGTATTCTCCTTCCTATACTGAAGCTCTGCCTTCCCTTCAAGACCTAATCAAGTGCCGCCTCCTCCAAGACATGCTGCCCCTCCGGCCACAATTGTGACTTCCCCTGCCAGCTGGCTGTGGGAAGTCACTGCACTTAACTTTCCCTAACATTCGGGTTTTCTATGCATGTATTCCATTTCCCCTGTTAAAGACGGTAAGCTCCTTGAGGGTGCCGTAGCTCCTTAGGGGCTGTTGTGGTCACCTTACCATCCCCTTCATCTCCTCAATGCCCTTGGTAGGCATTTTGTGATGCATGTAAAGTGAATGAAATGGGTGCAGACCTAGTACTGAAAAGGTGGGTCAGGAGCAAATTGTAAGAATCTTGAATTAGTTAAGGACTTGGCAACGGGCACTTCGGGCTTAAGAGCAGGACTTAGATATGCTCCACATGATCGTGTAAGAAGAAAATGATAGCGTAGCGGCAGGTGGGTGAGACCAAGGAGAGATTGTGACAGACCATGCAGGAGGTTATTATAGTCCAAGGTTTGGGGTACTGGAAAAGCCTGGTAGAGATTCAGAAGAGACTCTGAAGGGAAAACCAATAAGGTCTGGCAGCAGGGCTTGGATCTGAGAAGGTGGAAACATAAATGAGGGTAAAGATGTCCCTTAAGATTTTGAACCTGGGTGCCTTGGAAAATAAAATTATAATCTCTTCAAGTGTAGGACTTCTTTATAATTCCCCCACAGGGCTAGCAGTTGCTAGTAAAAAATGAATGGTAGTTTACAGCAAAAATTATGTTAGGAATCAGTATTTGATCATGACTATCCAAACCTGAAGTAGTCATACTCTGAATGTAATCATTTATTTATCCAGCAAATACTTATGGAACACGTACCATGTTGTTTTAAACCTGACCTCTGCATAAAAATTTCTCGTGGGGTTTAAAAAAAAAAAAATTCCTTTCCCGGGTTTTATTTCAGTATAGAAAAGAACTAAAAGTCCACCTAGAGATCAAAAGGAAAGCTTCAGGAATAGTGTCCCCCCCAGACTACAGCGAGCAGAGGTTGGCTCTCCCAGTAGTAGAAACATGGAAAGCCTCTGTGCACTTTCTGCTTGGATGCTATGACCAGCACTGGCACAAAAGTAGAGAAGCAAGAAGGATGGCTGTTTTGGGAGAAGATAAGTCAGGTTTAGATTTTTTTAAGATATAAGCGTGAAGCGATTCAAGGCTAAGAGTGTGGGCTGGGGAGCCACACCACTTGGGTTCAAAGCCTGGCTCTGCCCCTTACAAGCTGTGTGCTATTGGGCAAGTGACATAACTTCTCCGCGTACAAAGTGTGGATGGTGGGGCGCCTGGGTGGCTCAGTCGGTTGAGCGTCCGACTTCAGCTCAGGTCATGATCTCACACTCCGTGAGTTCGAGCCCCACATCAGGCTCTGTGCTGACAGCTCAGAGCCTGGAGCCTGCTTCAGATTCTGTGTCTCCCTCTCTCTCTCTGTCCCTCCCTTGCTCATGCTCTGTCTCTCTCTGTCTCAAAAATAAATTAATAAAAACATTAAAAAAAAATTTTTTTTTTTTTTTTTTAAAAAGAAGGTGTGAATGATGACAGACCTACCTGATAGGGTCGTTAAGGGTTAAATGAGGTAATAATAATACATGTAAAAGGCAGCCAACCCACAGGGGCACCATTGGGTTGTTTTTTTTTAAGAGTTTTAAGTAACCTCTACACCCAATATGGGGCTTGAACTTACAACCCCCAGATCAAGAGTCACATCCTCTGCTGACTAAGCCAGCCAGGTGCCCCTGGATATTTTACATTTATTACATTTACTTCAAAAGAAACAGCAGTGTGGGACATCTGTCAAACACCTTGGGAACTACTAGCTCAAGGTAATTCATGGTTGCTACGTCTTCTCACACGACATTCCTTTCAATAATGCCCCGTCTTTTCGAAGCTGGTCTTCTGTGATGGCTGTGATAAAAAGCAAGTACCATGTGAAAAGCCATGTGGGCACCCAGCTAAGTCTGGGAACTGTGGCTCTGCACATTAGTGAGCGTTCAATAGGAGCTGTTTTCAATGTCCTCTCCGGAGAAGTTCCAGAGAGCGATAGAAACGCAAGAGCTGGGGCTCAGCAGAGCAGGTGGGGCTCAGGTGAGGGTGGGGCGCTCCTGCACAAGAAATGAGGTCCCTGAGCAGAGAGCCCAGAGCAGAATCTGGTACGGTGCGCACAACGGGGCTCCGGAGAAGGCAGAGGGGGCCGCTGTGTGGGAGGAGAAACCAGAGA